CACCGGGTGCCGGTAGGTGTTTGCATAGTTGGCCGTTGTGTCCCGGGCAGGGCAGGAGGTGCAGAGGATGAAGCCGCCGACGAGGGAGAGGAGGGAGGAGATGATGCCCAGGTAAAGCGCCTCCCCGAGCTCGAACTTCATGCTGTCGGGGATGACGGGGCTGCGGAAATCCCGCAGCACCACGTGGATGTTCCACGCCAGCGGGATGAAGCAGAGCAGCCCCCCGAGCACAAAGACCACGCCGCCTGCCACTGCCACCCTGTCCTTGGCCGGTGAGCCCTGGCTGAAGACAGTGCACCTCATGCCCACGATGGTGAGGATGCAGGCGAGGGAGGACACGGCGCAGGAGCTCACCATCAGGGCTTGGGCTGCCTGGATGTCGGCGGGCAGGTTGAGCAGCGAGCTGTAGATGTCGCACTGGGTGATGCCCGTGCTGTATGTGGCACACTCCATCCACAGCCCCTTGGTGAAGCTCACGGCTGTCACGATGCTGGCGCCGATGTAGGAGCTGGTCTTCCAGCTGGGCAGCAGCGTGGCTGTCAGCGTGCCGATATAGCCCAGGAAGGCCACGGTGTAGCCCAGCAGCTGAAGTCCCATGGAGACCATGGTGGGGGCTGGCTGTCCCCTACCCAGGCTCGCAGCTCCTCGCTCCGTGTGTGCTCACCTTCCCATGGTCCCGCTGGCTGTGCCGCAGCTCCGGGGGGTTCTGCTTTTGTGGGTGGGAGCCGGGGGGAGGTTACCTGCAGGAGTGGAGAGCAATCCCTCCCCGATTAACGATTGACCTAAGCCTGCGGAGGAGCGCCAAGCGCCCTTTCATCTCCCCTATCTCCCAGCCAGACTTCAGAGGCAGGGCAGCGTTGCCTGGGAAGGACGCCAAAGCCCTCCCTTGTGCCGGGGCCATGGGCAGGGATGGAGAGCTGGGTGCTGGTGGGGAGAAAGTGCCCGCTGCCTCCCTCGGGTCCCTCGTCTCATGTGATTGCTGAGCTAAGGAAGCCAAAAGCACTGTTTGTGCTGTGCTGTTCGGGACCTGCTGGAGGTGACTTCAGGTGGAGGCCTTAAGGCTTCCCCAGCGTCATCCCCATATGCTTAAGGCATCTGCAGTCACCCACTACCCACCCGGAGCTGCTGAGGCTCTGTCAGGACAATGGGATGTGTCCACCATGGTTATCGCCCTTTCCATGCCACTGAGCACAGCAATGAGGAGGGATGCACATGACAGTGACGCTGTGTCCCCAGGAGAGCCCGGAGGTCCCTGGAGGACAGAATTACATCAGGGCAAAGCATGCTGACGGTGCCTCAGGGATGCTACCCCTGGCCGAGCCGGGTGACCTGTCCCTCGGTGGGGTGATGACCACACTGGGGTGCACCTCGTGCTCGCTGCCACCAGCGGGGTTTCTCTGCTGGTTCCGGCTCCTGGCTGCAGCGCTGGTGCAGACGGGGGGGTTGGCAGAGGCAGTGGAGTGAGGTGGTTTGTTTTCCCTCTGCCTTCTTTCCAAATTCCCCCTCCCACAGCCTATTGCGAAACCAGACTGAGCCCAAAACACTCCAATGTGTCAACACCGCCCTGGGAACGCTCCCGGATGTGAGTGCCACCACCACCCAGTGCCCTGCTCCTGTCCCTGTGTACCCCCCCGCACCTCGGATGCTTCATACCAGCATTTCCCAACTTTCTGCCTCCATTCCCATGTGCTAACCGAGACCTCCCGCTCCACATCAGGGGTGTTGTGGTACTTACGGAGGTGGCTGGAGACACGGAGCAGGAGAGAGGACTGTGGGTCACCCACCCAGCACCAGAGGTGTTTGGTCAGGGCAGGGCGAGCACCCGGGGCCCCGTCCCGTGGGATCAGGGGTTGTGAGTTGTTCAGTGATGGCTTTGCAAAATCCATCTGCAAATCTCCGCCTGGATCAGAGGCTTACTGCACCTCAGGATTAAACCCTTTCGTCATCGGGAAGGGAGTTGGGATGCCTTGTTTTTCTTGTTTTTAATTATCAGAGTAGGCTTGTCCAAGTGGCTCAGGTCTGTGGCTTACTGTCACCTTGGTGGCCATATGCTGCTGTCCATGTGTCCGCTTCAGGCTGTGTCAAAAGGGGCAGTGAAATGCCAACAGGTTGAGCTCCCTGTGCCCACAGAGTGAGCTTGGGCTTTTGCTTCGGTCCTCCCGGCTCCGCTTGTCCTCTGCAGGGTTTGTTGTTGTAAGACTCCTGGCCCAAATGAGGAGCAAATGGGGACAGTAATGAGGCTGCGCTGCCCTGTGCCCCCTCCCTCTCGCTGGCTGCCACAGATGGAGAGGGGCTGGGAGGGCCCCTGATGACAAATTGTGCTCGGAGCTGAGGGTCTGGCCGGTGTTTGGACAGGGCTGTTTGGATGCTGACAGCAGTGCTACAGCAGGGACCATTTGCTATTTTCTTTCCTTGTCCCATATTGAAACCCTCCCTTGAGCTCTGGGCAGGAGCAGCAGTAGGGACAGGACATGTGGTGGTGCTGAGGCAGGGGGGGCAAGCCTTGCACCCGTGTATTGAGAAGCTCCTGCACCTCCCAGTATGGTCCACAGCTCAAAAAGCCAAAGGAGAGGGCAGGGAGCAGGGGAAAGCTCATGCTGGCAGTGTAGAAACAGAGCTTGGGAGCTCCCTGGGGCGATCTGAGCGGGGGCCATGGGTGCCTGAGCAGGACCATTGTCCTGCCTGTGGTCCACCCGTGCCATCTGTCTTCCCCCCCGTCCTCTCTTGAGCATCCCATCACTTGACTGCTGATTGCTCTGTGCTCACCACCACCACAGCCTGTCACACTGTCCCCATCACATGCCCACCACCCTGTCCCAGAGCATGCCCATGGCACGGTCCTCACCATGCCCATTGCGCTGTCCCCATCCCATGCCCATCACGCTGCCGCAGCCCTCCACATCCCTTCCCCACGTCTACCCTGCCTTATGCAAATGGCTACAAACAGCACTTAATTATCCTGGTTAATTGTCTCTGCCCTCCCCTGTTCCCCCCTGGGGATTTTCTCACAAATGGTGTCTAACTTTTCCCTTCTGTGTTTTGATTTCCACCGGGGCTCGCAGCCCCTCCGCCCCCCGCCTCCCCCCGACCCTCTGTTTACACAACTGGGACAAATTTCACACCCTGGGGATGCTGTTGCTGCACCCCCAGCCCCTCAATCCCCTGCCCTGAAGAATCTGTGACTCACCAGCCGGGGCAGGGCTATAAAGGTGTCCTCACCAAGGACCTGCAGCGTCAGAGGAGACACCGTTTCCTGCCACCATGGAAGCTGCTGCCTACTGCTTGCCTCCCCGTGGGCTCTGGGTGCCTGTGGCCCCTGCTCACGCAGCCCCAGGGCTGGAGCAAGGGGAAAGGTACCTGGGTACCACGATCTGGGGGGATCTGGGGAGGGTGGAGAACGCAGGGGGTGTGCGGGAGGTGGGATGGCGAAGGCTGGGGACCCTTCCGATGGGGACCCCTGTGATCCCGGCCATAGGTGGGAGACAAGGTGTAGAGCCCAGGGAGCAATGCTGGGGGCTCCCAGGGATGGTGGGTGTTGAAGCAGGGTGAGGAGCACTGAGGCCGAGGTAGCACGAGTGCACCCGCATGTGCCCGGTGCTCCATCCACACTCATGG